CTCGCCGCTGTGTACACCGCTGTTAATCAGTCGGAGATTTCTATGCTTGCGGTGTAGAGCAGGGCAATTAAGCCTGGCAAATTAAAAAAAAAGATCACTGACGAGCGAATCGCTGCATAATATCAATGAATGAACAATCACTTACTGCTTGATGGCCTTCACCACCAACGAGAATTTTAAGGGTGTATTTGAGACCAGACACAACCTGCTTGCTTGCAGAGACCACTCTGATGAGTTCATGCGAGTGCCCGTCATTCATCGATGCATCGATTTTTGCTATTGACTTAGCAATCAATGCCTGGAACAAATGAATCATTCATATTTCACGAACATGCTGCATGTTTTCATGCTGTGAAATGAATTAGAGCTAGTCCAATTCGATTCGTTACTGGTAATTTTGTTCTCAGTGCCCAACAAAGCTAAAGAGAAATTCAACTGAGCGAATTTCGGTCAATGTTTAAATCAGTCTCGCAAAAGTTTAACGTTGCTTACCTTGATCTCCGGATCATTGACATCTACATCGCTTGATCCGCCTGTCAGTCCTGCTTCCGCTTGCATAACTACGATGCAGCCAAAAACAACTGCGATGGCGATACTGGATTGCATCTTCATATATCTTTCGCTGCAATTGTATGACCTATTTAGCGGGGTGAACAACGTGAATCGCTCCCAACTCAGCATGAATCGTTCACCAATCAAACAGCCGATTACAACTTAAAACTGAATATCAAAACGGACTGAGCTTCTTCTGTGAATCATAAGACATTATTGCCTTCAGCATGAACAAATGGTTAACAAATCTGATTATTTTTTTTTGGAAAATATCTTAGGAAAATGTTGGAAAAGTTTGACTATAACAGAAGAAAACAGGTGAAATGTTCACAAAATGTTTCAAAATCATTTCCACCCTAGCGCTGCAGTTTGAAACTGCCCGACGACCGCTATAACCATCAAAACATATGAGATTGACAGCAACAATCATGAACAAGTTTCGCATTATTACAATAAATGAATAATATTTACACTGACAGCAATCACAAAGCTCCGCGAATAACAGCCGTTGCGAGAGTTGATTAACAACTTCTTCGCGTTGAGTATCAATAAACTCGTTTCACAATTTGAACAAACAACTCTCAAAATAACAGAAATCACGAATGCCTGATCAATAACTTCCTCATCCGAGTGATCTTTGCGAACTGATAACTTCCTCGTTGCAATAGTTTCACGATCATCAAACAAACCCATTTGCCAATTAACGAAACATTGAGCGGATGGGAACGAAATGGATATCAAAATTATTATTGGAATGTGGAACGCACTGCGGCATCTGAACATCACATCTAATGTGAAGATAGTATAACACAGTGGTTCACATACGGGGTGAAATTACCCATTTTTGGCAATTTGGAAAAAAAAACATGCTTTCATGAAAAGACATGCATTCTTATGACGGAATCTAATCTTAATTAGTAGTCCAACATTCTTGTCTAAAAGCTTTATGTCAAAAACTTGTGGACTACAGACGGTAACTGTTCAGTCACCCGGCTTAGTTGCATCAGTGATACAGAACAGTAGTCCACCCTGCAATCAAGGAAGAAGGAATCGTTCGTAAAGTTCCTTGATACCTTGTCCAATGAATTCCGCACATTTGTTCATGAAAGCGTCTATTTAGGCCAACATGTGTTTTGAACTGATTAGGTTTTTTTCTCCAACAGAGCAGTTGTGATGATCAAGCCTGATTCTGTTTCAACCGGACACACGCTTTTGTCATAGGTCAGTTCATCTTTTCTTTATATACAATTGTTACTTTAGTGTGACATGAAGCTGGTAAATTTTATTTCGCTTTCGATCGATTGTTCGTCATTATGAATTGAGAAGATTTAGTCATCACAGCAAAAGAAAAATCAAGGAAATGAAAGGAAGCGGATCGTTGAATAGAAAATTCAATTTTGATTGGACTCTGTGAGTGCACAGATTGCAACCGGTATCGACCATTTTAAAAGAATAGTTCACTTGAATGTATCAGTGAATTATGATTGATATACCATTCAGGACACTTGCGACAAGGTTTTCAAATTCAGTGGTAGGTCAGACAGCTTCCAATTACAATTTTATCCTTCTTCCCACTTTGTCTCAAGATGTTAACGTCACATCGCTGGAAATTGAGTCAGTGTTATTCTCCAAAGATTTCCATCAAAAAACTAATTTAACGTCCAAAATTTATCTCTGCCAATAAATTAATCTGAATGAACGGTACAGTCGCATGAAGTTTTACATTCCATGTCAAGAAAAAGACCAGCTGCCAGCCATGATCATGGCAGATTGGTCTATATAACATCTTCTGATGCAATTTCTCAGCTTTCATACGTGCCTTTGTTTTGGCTATTAGCACGCATTTTATCTGAAAATGCAACAAAGATGTTGCATTTTCCATATGTGTATCTTTTAGGTTTTGACTTGCACCTTTCATCAAAATTATGTTTTCAGAATTCTGAAAGTACAATGTTTACAAAAGCAAACATCAATAAAAAGCCTTACAACTTTATTTAATTCCTCGCTTGAGCAAGATGGCTGAAAACAAAATACATAAATGATCAGAAGTTTATGCTCCATCTGAAGATGTGCTTGTGAGAAGAACACTGAATGCATCCGTCTGATGAGAGGTTTGAATTTCCTATTATTCGCTAGGAACGAAATAGTTTTTTGACTGTGTGAACACGAATGTGAGATGTAAAATGAATTGTGGCAATCCATATGAACAATTGGAAATCACATACGTCACCGGGACATTCGACAACAATCCCAAGGTAATATTTCATCGCCTCCCCATCTTTTTTCTCTTTGGCATCCGTAATTTTTGAAAACACATACAGTTTCAAATCAGTGACATCCTTATTGATCTTCCTAACAGCTTTATTTGCAAGTTGCTAAAACCAAACAAATGATAGTATAAACATGAATAAATATCACGATCAATGGAATGGTGCTGAAGAAGTGGCACATTTCCGGAACTGATGCTTGAATGCTGAGATTTCGTTTCCGACGAACCTAACAGAACTAGCAGAAAATTCACTGATTCCGAGTGATAAGAAGGCGGATGAAAGCGTGCAGTATGTGCGAAAGTGTGAGCAGTACTTTACGTTTCCATGCCAAGCAACTGAATCGTCTCAATGATCAGTTGGCCAGAAACACATGGCACCGATCGGAATAAAACAACATACTTGATCATTTGTTGATGATGCATTCACTCAGTACAACGCAAACTTGCCGAGAGAAATGGTAAAATAAGATGAACCACTTCACATATCCTAACCTTGACTAGTGTACCATTAACATCAATCGGCGTGTATCCAGTTCCCAGGCCATCATCCTCATCGTATTCCTCCGTTTCCTTTCAATATTTTACAATTACTTTATTGATGTGCTCGAATGCTTTGTGTTGAACGTTAACGAAGCAATGAAAAACCAACAGAGCAAACTGAACTCACCGCAGCAGCAAAGGAAGCACTCAGTGATACTCCGATGAGTATCACATAACAAAATACAGTCGCATCGGACACGTTCATACGCATGATGATGATTGTATTGCTTAAAGAATTTTCATCATCAGTTTGCAAATTCTAGACCCCGCTATTTGGAAGAATTGCGATTTTCACATTTCGACGACTGATCACATACAACTTGCAACACCCGAAATCATCAAGCTGTCAATTTAATGAATGCATGCTTGACAAAATATTTGAGACCATTCGATAAATAGTATTGGCCTTGAAGCTAATGAATCCCTCCGACCGAAGAGGGTGACCTGTCAGTCAGCGAAGCATTATCACCATCTTGGTTCTATTCAATGGCCACTTATTTAAGATCTACGCGAAATGGTTTCCCGATATTAATCATCTG